GCTCCCGGTAGGGAGCCTGTTTCTCCCTCTGCCTGTGTCTCTGCCTCTCTGTGTGTCTCTCATGAATAAATAAATAAAATCTTTAAAAAAAAAAAGAGTTTCAACTTATTCCCATTTATAGGAATTCCCATCACTTCCATTCCAACAGTGGCTGCCCCATCTCCTCCCCTCCACGTCAGGATTCTTGAGTTGTCTACACTAGAGATCTCTGCTTCTTTACCTCTTCACCATTCAGCCCACATTCCGTGGCTTCTGTACTTGACCACTGTATTCCTGCCAATGTCACCAGTGCCAACCTCAGGCCTTACATTCCAGGCCATTCTATTGTATTTGACATCACTGGTAACTCCCTCCAAAGGCGTGAAATACAATGAAGCACATTCCTTTTGCCTCTGTGGTACTGTGTTTGCCTGTGTTGTCTACCTAATCTCAAGGCAATCCACAATCCTTTTCTTTTGTTTGTGCCTTAAATGTCCATGTTTTTCTGGCTCTCTTCTCACCTACCAGATATTTTTCTGGATTATTTCATCTATGATCATGGCATAAATTACCATTTATTCTGATGATTTTCAGTCTTAATTTCTAACTCCAGATGCACATACCCAATTGCCCTTTGGATACCTCCTCTTGAAATGTTCCATGGGCACCTTATTATACCACCACCACCCGAACACACATACGCACATACACATGCCCCATGTGTGCTCACACACATGCACACATACATAGCCTGCTCCTCTTCCTCCCTTGTTCCCTATCCAAGCGAGTGCAACTACCATTCATCTAGTTTCCTGAGGCAAGACTTCTGAAATCACCCTTGATTCTTCTCTTTCCCCTCAACCATTCAATCAGAGCATTCCAATTCCTTTAATTCAACCTCTTGAATAGGTCTTTACTTCTTAACACTGGTCTACTTTGTTCTACCATTAGCTGCCACCAGGCTGAGATAATTTCATGCTGTGTCATGTCTGAATTCCTGTCCTACTCAAATCCAATCTAGTTTCCACATGTACCCAGACAGAGCACCCTAAAATGCAAAGCTGATTATTGCTCTCAGCTGAAGAAAAGTCCACTTCCTTCCTCTGGGATTGGCTCTTCCACTCACTCAGACTGGACTGGGTGTTTTCTCCCATGATAACAACACAGGTTCTAGCAAACTCTGTTGTAATTATTTACCCGCCTGCATCCCCCAGATAGATGAATCTCCCTTCTTTGTTCAACCAGTTATTAGCTATTTCTTGAAGCCCTCCAATATATAATGTGCTGTTAATCAAGTCGTGAAAAGGACAAACATGTCCCTTCCTCACACATTTGTCACCTGCTCACCCTTTCCAAACACAGTTTCTGGCACATAGCAGTTGCTTAGTAAGTATTTGCTGAGTAAATAAATGATAAAATGAGTACTTTCTACCACAGACTAACTAATTACCCTATCCTCATTCCAATTTTAGAATAAAATTCATGAACACACATTTTATAAAAGTGATCTTCAGAGTCAATGTTTATAGAAAGTCTCTTTTTGTTCCAAAGGGCAGAAACAAATTATATCTGAATATTTTCAGGCTGACAGAAGTCTTTAAGCAATCACATCTCTCCAATGAAGATTATGCTGGGAGCCAAATTCATGAAATCAGCCTAGCTCTTAAGGAACTGAATACCTAACTTAAAGAGGATCAACATAGCCTGATGACAAAGAAGCACATTTTGTATGAATTTGAAATGAACACCAGCCCTGTTACTAAGCAGGACCCAGCCCAGTCATGGCTGCAGGGCCCCATGACAAGGGCCCCTGGATGCCTCTGGTGATAAACCTTACCCAGGGGATCAGGCCTGTCTAATGTCAGCGAGCCAGTGTCTTCTGATTGTGAACGTATCATTTCAGAACATAAGTGGGGAGCCTCTGGTGATCACCCTGACTTTCTGAAGCTCACACTATATAAACACTGTAGTCTTGCCTGAATCACCTTTTAAAAAAATTAGAGTGAAATATATGTAATATAAACTTTACCATTTTAAACATTTTGAAGTGTATGATTCAACGGTATCCAGTACATTCACCCTGTTGTGCAAGCATCACCCATCATCTTCAGAACTTTTTCATCTTTTCAAACTGAAACTCTTCCCCATTGAATGACAATGCCCCATTCCTCCCCATCCAGCCCCTGGCGCCCACCCTTCTATTTTCTTTGGCTGTGAATCTGACTACTCTGGGGGCCTTGGACATGTTGAATCACACAGCATTTGTGCTTGTACAACTGGCTTATCACTCAGCATAATGTCCCCAAGGATCATCCATGCTGTAGCAGGTGTCAGGACTTCCTTCCTTTTTAAGGCTGTGAAAGATCCCATTGTATGGAATACCCACACCTTGATTCTCCACTCAGGACATCTGGATGGTTGCTGAAATGCTGGCCGTAGGCGTGGAATTGCAGGCCCTGACGAGGACATGTGGCGTGTCCATCGCTGAGTATGGGATACTGCTGAGGACACTTCCATGCTGGCCCCAGAACCACCTCAGACATCCTGGAAGGACTCAGGCTTGTTGGCCTCAGCCATGGGCTTCTTAGTGGTGTGAAGCTTACACAGCTCAGAACACCACTTCCCAGTCAATGGCACATGAAAAAATTGACATTGGACTGAGAGTGCTCTCTGGATTCTCTTCTATTTAAATTCCGTAAGGCAAGCACAAAACTTCTACAATCACAGACAACCCTTATGGCTGTCACCATCACTTCCAGTGACCTAAACCGCAAATAGCTGCTCTCTCTTCAAATCGGTGTCTCTTCCTGAATGGGGTTATTCTATCCAGTATCACTAATCAATGAGAAAAAGCCAGTATTTTGAGACGTTTATGTCTCCTTTACGCTCAGAAGCCTCTCTGCTGGCCCTCCCCGCTGCTCATGGTCCCCACGGGCTCCTTCTGCCCCCAATCTCCTAGCCCACAGGCCTCTGGTAGGTTTGGCACAAGGCTGGAGGGAGGGAGAGGCAGAGATGCCAGGATTTCTAGCCCTCAGCCTCAGAGGGGGCATCTCTGGCCAGTGGCTGCTTCTCCTCTGTGGCTCCTACTCCTGCCAGGCAGACCCACAGGGTTCTACTCCCATTGGGTGGGCTCCTGTCACACCACTGCCTCTCATTGCTCCTTTAGCCCTAGAGGTGTAGTGGCTTCCTGATTTTGACAATCTGGGTTGCCTCACCATTCCCTTTTTGGATTCTTTTTGTTCCATTATCTCTATAACCAAGTCTCCCCTTGTTGGATGCACTGGGAGCCTTTCTAGATCTTTTCTCATTCCCATCCAAGAACACGGATGACCCTCCTCTGAGGCCCAGAGCTCTCCAGGGTCAAGCTGCTCCTCATCTGGACTCATCCTCTGCTTCCTTGCCCTCCTGTTTCCAGACCACTTTCTAGTCTGACGCTGGGTTCCTGACCCTCAGAGGTGCCCACGGCCCTCCTCCTTCTCCATGCTGCATGTCACCTCATTCCCACCCAAGTCATGGCTAGTTTTCTTCTCTGGAAGGCTCTCCCTTCACCTCTTCCTTCATTCAAACCCTACCACTTATGCAAGGCTCAGCTCCCCGGGCACTACAGCAGCGGGGCCATCACGGCCCTCACCAGACCAGTGTTTCCCTTCCCTACTCCTCTAGTGTGGACCACCTGCTCACTCTCCACTCCCCACCCAGCCTTCTTTCTGCTTTTACTTAATTGTTTCATCTGAATGTTATTCTGTTCCCAGTAAGACTGGAATCCCCAGAAGGTAGAAACAAGAGCTTGCATCTGACCTCTTGGCATCTAAAACAACACTCTGCAAAACATACATCTCACAAAGTAATCACCAAGGGAGCACGGAGAACGGTGATGGCATGTTCTCTGCATGACGAACACATCTTTCCCTCCAAAGATAATGACTCTTATGGCTGGATACTGTCTTCCAAAAAGCTATGGTGAAATCTCAGCCTCTGATGGTTGTGAACGTGACCCTGTTTGGAAGTGAGGTCTTTGCGGGTGTGATCAAGTGAAGACAAAGTCCTATTGGAGCAGGGTGGGTCCTAATCTGATATGAGTGGTGTCATTATGAGAAGAGGAAAATCTGGCCACACACCCAGAGACACAGGGTCCACAGCCACGTGAGGACGGAGACTGGTGTGATGCTACCACAAGCCAAGGTACACCCAGGGCTCCCAGAAGCTGGAAGAGCCAAGGAAGGGTCCTCCTCCCCAGAGACTCTGCAGGGAGCACGGTCCTGCCCAAACCAGGACTTCAGATCTCCAGCCTCTGGAGCTATGAGGCAACAGCTTCTGGTTCTTGTAAGCACCCCACCCCCTGCTCACTTCATGCCACTTTGGTCCAGCGGCCCCAGGGAACGACTACAGCAACTGAATCCAATAGTTCCATCCACATAGATGGACTTCAGGGACATGGTTCTTCTATCCCTGCTCGCACGTTCCTCAGAGGAGCCAGGCATGGACGGAGAGCATGTCCACGCTCTGGGCCCACCGTGCTGATGCTGAGCGCACAGGTCCTGCGGCTCGGCCAGCTTCCTTCATAAGTGCCCGTGGACCCTCCCCCTATGCAGGGGCGGAGATGCCTGGCTCCCTGCACCACTCTGCTCTGAAGCCTCACCTCCTTGGGCGCGCTTCCTAATGCACATGGTGACAAAACGTGAAATCTTAAAAGTCTAAAATAAAACTTTAATTTAAAAACTCTTTTTGCTTTACCTCTTTTTCCTCTAGTATCCCAATCAAGATAAATTCAAATAAAGCTTTTAACGACTGACTTTTTAAAGAGGCTGAGGCAACCAACACTTCCTGGCCAGGTTCCAACATTCCCAGTCTCTGTTTAGTTTCCCTTTGCCTCCTGGGCCCTCCACATCTCTTTCTCAGCCTGTGATTCATGATAAAATGTACCAAATGTGTCAGGGGTGCACGACCTTGGCTTTGGCCTCAGACTCTGCCCTCCCTCCTGACGCCTGGAGGCCCGGCCCGCAGGAGAAGGCCAGACTTACGGTTCTGGGGGAAGCATAGTGTGTGGGCGATGCCGATGGAGGCCTGGCTGCGCTCTGGAAGGAGGACGGGCAATACCTCTGGCCTGTGTCCGGAGGGGAAGAGGAGGCATAGATGCGATTTTCCAGTCGCTCAGGCTCATGCTTGTAGGATTCGAGAGGAAAGGTGTGCTGCTTGGCCACCTGGGTGGGTGTCGATGGAGAGGATGAGAGACCCGAAGCTGAGGAGGAAATCAGAAAGTGCTGTTAGAAGTCTGGCTGAGGTAGAGGAGGGCAAAGAGTGCTCCTTCCATTGCTTAGTACCGAACATCTCAAATGGCAAGAATCTGAATTATTAAATTTTAAATGTTGGGGACAAGTTTATCTATCTATCTATCTATCTATCTATCTATCTATCTATCTATCTATCTATCTATCTATGCATTGCATCCCCCAAATAGCTACATTGAAGTCTTAACCCCTGGCACCCATGAAGATTTGGAAATAGGGTCTTTGCAGACATCATCATGTTAAATGAGGTCACATTGGAGTAGGCTTGACTCTTAACCCAACGTGACTAGCGTCCTTAGAGGAGGAGAGGACATAGAGACAGACATGCACCCAGAGCAGAAGCCAGGTCACAGGAGCCAGAGACTGAAGTGATGCATCTACAGGTCAAGGAGTGCCAGGTGCAGCTGGTGACCATCAAAAGCTAGTGGTAAGGAAGGATGCTTTCCCGGGTCTCAGACAGAGGACAGCCTACCTGACACCCTGGTTTCAGACCTCCAGCCTCTTAACTGTGAGGGAATAAACTTCCACTGTTTTATGCGACCCAGTGTGAGGTACTTTGTTATGGCAGCTCTAGCAAACTCATATAGTCAAGTTGATGGATATTGATTTGTTTTCCAAGAGAAGCAGAAACCGGATTTGGGTCTGGTGTCTCACATTTATAGCTAATTAAGTAAAATTTTTATTTTCAATTTGCTATTTAAATTTTTTAAACCATGCAAGTCAAAGCAAAATTGTCAGTACCAAGTAGCACTACTTGCTACTCGCTACTTCTGACCTAGAAAAAGACACGTCAGCCTACAGAGCTGTAAGCCTGGATCTCCTCTGCTTGCTACTCTGTCCCAGACTCCTTTCCTCACAGTTCTCAGTCCCTGTACACATGTGTGTCCCCTTCTCTGCTTCCATCTTCACTCTCTAGGAAGGGAATGCTCCCCAGGAGACTCCTCTGGGGAGTCAATTCAACGAACCCCTTTCTCCTGACTCTATGGCCCTGAGAGTCCTCCCCTGGACTTATGAGCACATTTCATCCACACAACATATTACCAGGTAACAACACGATATTTAACACTGAAACCAAATGTGAAAGTACGTTAAGTCTCCTGTCCCCAACAAAATCCACCATCTGTCTTTGCGGCAGGGGTTCTGGTTGGCCTCTTGGGTCCCCACAGCAGCCCTTGCTGCCCTGGTGAGAGGGGCAGGTGCCTGGAAGATACTCGCCACCCAATAGGCAAGGTGAGAGAAGGGAGCATGGGAGGGTGTAAGGCTCAAGCTCTGTTGGCATCTTTTCTCCTTCCCCGAGGCCAGAGAGAGAGATTGGGGGTGGGTACATATTTCCCTGGCGGTAATTTTGGAAGGGACCAATCAAGAAAGGAGGTTTATCTTCTAGGAAACCCCTTGTCCCATGAAGCCATCCCAAGAGGGAAGCCCTGCTCCAGGCCCCAGGCTGACCTCTGGGAGGCAGGTCTAGGCAAAAGCAGGAGACAGAAGGCTCTATCACCCGTGGTTTTCTAGGTCTCAAAACTTAAGATACCAAAGACCTCCAACAGAAAAGTCCCTGACTCTTTTAGAAACAGAAGTTTTCCCCTAAAGGTCCTGAGAAGCAAAGCCTGTTTTGAGGTGGGGCTTGGGGAAGGGGGAGGAAGGAGAGGGAGGATCAAGAGCAGGAGCTCTGGTGCTTTCCAGCTGTTTGGGGAAAGGTGGGGAGGGGAAGGGTGGTCCAGCAGGCAAGGTGACAGAGGAGCCGCCTGGCCCAAGTCTGGGTCCTTCAGTGTCATGGCTTCAGTGCTCCCCAGTGATGCCCACAGAGAGGTGAGGAATGAGGATGCCTGCCAAGGATCTGTGGGGGTGTGCCTGGGCCCTTCAGAGGACTCTGCTGGGAGAAGAGGGAAACTCTTGTGCTACTCTGTTTGTGGAGCCTGGCACCCCGTGGAGGTCAGGCCCCCCAGGGGTGGTGACACGTCCTTCCGTGGTTCTTCCAGCAGGAGTTCTCAGCTGGCCCACTAGCCTGGTTCCTCATAGAGTGGCCCAGGACAGGCTAGTTCTCACGTCACAGTGAAACAGGGAGTTTTATGTTCTGTGCTCCCAATGCTCACCCCAACCACTGGTGGCCCATTTCACCTCAAGTTTAGCATTAGCACAAGTATAGCCATCTTAGGACCCTGGGAATAAGAGCTGAACTTTACAGGAAAACCTGAAGATTGTCCTAGGCAGGGAATCCCATATCGGAAAGATAATAAAGCTCAGAATTGCCCTCAGCAGAGAATCCCATATCAGATCTTAAGAAACTCACCCACCCTTTCCCCCATATTGGAATGAAAAAAAAAAAAATCCCTCCACCCCTTCTGAAAATCCCCTAGACCAGCCCATAAAAAACCCAGCTGTAACCCATTTCGGGGTCCAAGTCCCTGCTCTGCTGTATGGAGTATACTTGGACCCAATCTCGAGCTTGTAAATAAACCCTCATGTGTTTGCATCAGTGTTGGCTCCTTGGTGGTTTCTCGGATTCGCAATCTTGGGCACGACACTGGATGCAGAGGCCACCTGGGTGCTGTCCAAGGGTGGGTGCTGGAGACCCAGCATGTGGGTGAAACAGAGTGGGATCGGTGGGCAGGGGGCACATTTGGACTCAAAGCTTGTACCACTGAGCAGCTTCTAACAGCCCCTTGGGAAAAGCCCATGGGGGTCTTGTTCTCCATGTGAAGGAGGAGCCTCCAGTGATGTCTAGTACCCCATGGTGCTGAGGCATCCATGTCTGTCCAAACACAGGGCACAACCCAAACCACCCCTCCATCTCACCTGTGACTACCCCCAGACTCAGCTCAGACTCTGGCCCAAATAATACCCACAGAGTTTTCAGAATCTTGGACAGGGGATGTACCTCTGTGGGGGCATTCTGGCCACGCGGATCGAAACTACAAGGAGCATACGTTCCTTGACCCAACAATCTGCTTCTGGGATATCCTTCCACAGACAGCGATGTGTAGTTGCTAAAGGGCCAGTGCGTGGGGTCATTCATCACAGTGGTGATCCTAACAAACACGGACACTCATGGACAGGATGGAGCTAGCGTGACGGTGATGGCGTGGCCACACAGACAGCCCTGGCTCCCTGACGGGCACAACAAGCTTCCTCTTCCTTCTCACCTCTGAGACCCAGAGGGAAGTGAAAAGGCAGCCCCCAGAGCCATGTGTACGGGATGATAGCATTCATAGTCTCAGAAACGGGCTTAAGAATGTCGATATGTAGCCCAGAGCATCTCAGGAAGGAGGCGGAGGAACGACCTGGAGACAGGAACCGCCAGGGACAACTGTCATTGTATGCGCCCTTTCCTGTTCCGCAGCTTTTATATCACGCGGATGCTGATCAATTCAGAAAATTACCTTCTTCAGCCGCTGTTCTGCTTTTGAGCCAGGAGGCCGGCTAATACCATCTATGAGGGCCTCCCGCCTCTTGGCCTGACCCTGGCCACCCTACCCCGGCTCTGAGGAGCCCTGTCTCTCCACCTGGATGGAGGCACTTGGAGGGCAGGGCCTGGTCTGTCTCTCTGTCTGTCTGTTTGTCTCTCTCTCCCCACGACAGGCTGCCGCATTCACAACATTCCGGGATTTGCCGTTCTGTGAGGGACATTCACAGCTGCTGGAGCTCCTTGCAAGCTCTTTGGGTATAGAATGTTCATTCCTAAGTGAATAATTGAAGAGAACAGGACCAAGCGCCCCGAGAGAACTCTTGAAGCACACGCTCTGCTTCTCCTATGGCTCATCCTCTATGGCCCATTCCCATGCGAGTCCTGGGATGGTCCTGACTGAGGGGAGAAGGATGATGCAGGACACACACAGCCCTGGACACGACCTTGCTGGACTGTCTGGGGCGAGGAGAAGATGAGCAGGCTTCCCGTGTGCTGGGGGGAACAACTGGCTTCTAGGGGAACAGCATGATTCCCCACATGTCCAGGAAAGCTGCTTTCAGTGAACTCTTTCCAAGCTCCAAAGATGCTTCCATTTTCCCACCTGGCCCTCCTGCCTCCTCTCTGCCCTCTTCCCAGAGTGGAGGGGGGTCTTGCTGGGGAAAACAGGATGATGCTCTGGACTCAACTGAGGGGGGTGGGGCATGATGTGAGGATTGGCAATACGTGTAGTTTAAGGTAAAGGGAAAGAACCTTCCAAGGACCAAAAATATGCCCCTCTTTTCACCAATACCTGAACCATCTTTAAGGGGGGTAGAGCCTTGCAACAGCACCATCTTTTTTGCATATTGCCTCACTGTTTACAAAGTGCTCCTACACACTCTCACCCCATTTGTCCCCTGAAGCCACGCCCTGGGGGGCAGCTTTAGCTTCCCACATTATAGAGGGTAAAACCAGTGACCAGAGAAGCTGCTTGTCTCTTTAGTGAGTAAACAATGGCAGAGGGCACCCCTGTAACCAGCATCCTGACTCCAAATCCTAAACCCCTTTGCCAGGATCAAACAGGGGTGTTGCCAAGAGAGAGAGAGCAGAAAGACTTAAAACAACATTTTGGGGGTATGAATGACTCTCCCAGAAGGTGGGGTTTCCCAGGCCAGCAGGCAGGAGAACTTGGAAAGCACAGGATGCAGAAAGGAAGTTGAGAGTGGGCAGAGGGAATGGGGTACAGGAGAGGGTGGGCTTGGGGCTCTGTGGGCTTCCTCTCATGGGGTGGGCTTCCTTGCCAGTCAGCAAGAGGGGAGATGTGCTCAGCGGAGAGACTTTTTTTTGCATTGATGCTGCTTTACCAGAGAAAGGGGGGATTTTTTTTTTTAAAGATTTTATTTATTTATTCATGAGAGGCACAGAGAGAGAGGCAGAGACACAGGCAGTAGAAGAAGCAGGCTTCCTGCAGGGAGCCCGATGCGGGACTCAATCCCAGGACCTGAGATTACTCCCTGAGCTGAAGGCAGATGCTCTATCACTGAGCCACCCAGGCACCCTGAGAAGGGG